AGAAAGAGAGAGGGGGGAGGGAGGGAGGGAGGGAGGGAGGGAGGGAGGGAGGGAGAGATAGAACTAGAGCGAGAGCGAGAGCGAGAGCGAGAGCGAGAGCGAGAGCGAGAGCGAGAGCGAGAGCGAGAGCGAGAGCGAGAGCGAGAGAGAGAGAATGAGAGAGCGCGAGAGCCAGGCATGGTGGCATGTACTCAAAACCCCAGAGCTAAGGAGGTAGAGATACACGAGTCCCTGGGGCTCACTGGCCAAGCAGATCAGCACATTTGGTGAGCTTCCAGGCCGGTGGAAGTTTCTGTGTCGATATAATCATTGAAAAATGGCACCTAAAAAATGGCATCTCGTCTACTACATACACACACACACACACACACACACGGGGGGGGGGGGCAGAGAGGTGGAGAGGCAGAGAGACAGAGAGACAGAGAGAATGTGCTATGCTAATATACTCTCACTGCAGAAATGTAGAAATGTCACTGGGGGTCTCAGTGTAATATGGTGAACCAAGAAAAAAGAAAACCCTAGAAGGAAGAAACTAGGACAAAATTGCAAAGCTCTGAAGTGTCAGAGTAGGAAGGTCTCTACCCTTGGAACCACAATTGTCCTCTCAAATCTGTGTGACTTCCAGGTTAATATTTTATCCTCACCACCTAAGCCTGAAGTTGAGAATCTTTCAGCCCAGGGCCATCTCTGCTGGTACTGGCTCTCTGTCTTCTCACACCACATCTTTTAAAAACTTGTTCCTTTTGGGATTTTCTGTGGCTTTTGCATCCTGATCAATAGGTTTTGACAGCAATGCTTTTCTCTCAGGGTTTCTATGGGAGTGTGAAGTAAAGATGGAGAATCTTCTGCTTGGCTATTTCCCTGATGACCACTGGGAATCGGAACCAGGCAACGCTTCATCTAAAAATCTGTAGGTTGTTCATTGAGAAAATATGGAACTTCAATTAAATATTTAAAAACTTTTACTATATGAAATTATTAACCTTTTGGACTTATCTGTTAAAGCCTGCCTGATCGATATAAAACTTAAGGTAGGAATTGCCTACAATTCAAAAGTAAATTTGTTGTACTTTGAAGAGTAGAGCCTAGAATTAGAGCGAGTCTCTTGTTGAACGCACAGTTCATTAACTCTCCTGAAGAGCCCTTATTTTCTCTTACCTCTTCTTCTGTATGTTCTCGGGGTAGGAGGTTTTCTGGAATATGCAGGCACGGTAAGATAAAAGGGAGAAAAACCATTATTTGTTCTCAGAGTCGAGTTCTGTGGCTTTAGATCAGATGAGCCTGCAGCCTTAGGAAATCTGAAAAAATGTTCCTTGTCACCGGATCTGGTTCTTGAGGCCCTTCCTCCTAAAACTGAGACCCATACTAGACTGCTGTGTGATTCTTTTTGTTGTCATTGTTGTTTTATTTAGACAGGGTTTCTCTCAGCCCTGGCTGTCCTGAACTTGCTCTGTAGAGCAGGCTGGCTTTGAACTCACAGAAATCCACCTGCCTCTGCCTCCCAATTTCCTGAGTACTAGGTTGAAAGACACGGGCCACCACCATCCTTCTGCTCTTTACTTCTTTGCGAGCATCTGTACACGACTATAGAGCACTAATAGCACTACTTTTCTCATCTATAAATGAGCAATAACCTAGTTACCTTGCCTTCCTGTTAAGATTCTGCGATGATCACATACTGCTTCATTCATTTACACTCAATCAAAAAAACTTAACATATGCCAACATCTTAACTATAATTTAGACAGGGATACCTAAAAGTTGCTTTTAAAAATATTTAAAATTAAAAACATTTTTTTATAGGTATGAGAGTTTGTCTGTATGTACATGCATGCTCCATGCTTTTGGAGATCAAAAGGAGGTGTCTGCCCTGGAGAGAAGAAACAGTTGTGAGTCACGTGATGTGAGTTTTGGTAACCAAGCCTGTGTCCTCTGCAAGAGCAGCTAGAGCTTTTAATTACTGAGGCATCTCCCCAGATAAACATAGCATAACTTATTTTTATATACCTTCTAAGCTAGTGACAAATAATAGTATTACCAGTGAACATAGGAATTCCATGCTTACTATGCCACAGCAGAAACTCAACGCACTATTTCACCTTGTTAGTATTAGTAGGCGTGATCTCATGGAGTAAAGAGAGTGTCCCTTTACTAGCATAGTTTTGCTATATTTTATTTTAATTATCAGTTGGGCTTGCCCAGATAATAAACCATTCTGTGGTAGATTTTGATTTCCCAGCCAGACCAGAGAAGAAAAATGTAGAAGGTGGTACCCTGGGGTTGCTAAATCAAGGCTTGTAGAGAATGCTGGGATTACAGTTTAAGACATTCAATTCAGTTTGGACATCTCATAGTCTAGAATTGCACTTCTGATCATCTTAACTGGTACAATCCGGTGCCAGGAGCATGTGGTTTCTCAGGCCCCATTCCTTCAACCAATTCTAATATGTCACGGATATTGATCACTGTACAAAAAGAATTCTTTGGAATCCCCTGGTTGTGAGAAAAAAAAACAGCACAGCAGAAAATTCACTAATAAGAAATATTGGAAACACCCTAACACCCCTTAGAAAGCCTAATCTCCATCCAGACGACATGGGTCTGCCTCTCTAAATTACCAGCCCAGTAGGTTAGTGAGACTCCATTTTGATCCCCAAGGCAGAATGCAACTTGCTGGCAAGGGGCCATCTGACATCACTTGGCCTTTTTCTTCCTAAATCATTGACTTTTTACCCCTCCTGCTCATCTTTCTGAATTCCCACCATCCCTGCCTCAGTGTTTCTTGTAGGGAAATCTTATGTGGAAGAGCCTGAATAGGTAGTTCAGTTCTTGACACACAAGCATGAGGACGTGGGTTGGATCCCTACAATCCAAGTAAGGAGCTGAGCATGGTGGTTCACAATTGTCATACCAGAGCTAGAGAGATATGGGCAGGGGCAGTGTGGATCTCTGAGGCTCAGTGGTCAGCAGGAGTAGCCCTAAAAGGTGAATTCTAGCTCCCAGTGAGAGACTCTCAAAAAACAGGATGGCTGTCTATTTAGGAGCAATATCTGATATTGACCTCTGACTTCTATATGTACACATGAATGTGCAGACACATGTACAGACACATGCACACATACACATGGATGTGCACACACACATATGTACACATACATACACGTATGTGCACACACAGAGAGAGACCTTCAAAATCTTATGTTCAACATTCCCCATTGATCTGATACCTCCCACATGTCTATGAAAAAGAATCTTTGCATTGGAACCATAGACACATTTGAGAACTTAGTGGATGGGGCAGTTTGCTCACACTAAAAGAGTATGCGAGTGGTCGAAAACCTGAAACACATTTCTGCTTCCTTTAGAAGGTACATGAACAGCTGGAAGGAAGGCATCATTTCAGAGTTTGCTCTTTTTTTAACTGTTAAGACTGAGAAGTGTTTTCATTTGATCTCAGGTCTTTCCTTAGTGTATTTTCTCTGAGGAAGCACATTTCTAAAATCTTCTGGATCTAATCAGATCTAAATCAGAACGGGAAAATGAATCACTAAGAGCACACTATAGAATCTTAAATCTTCCAACAAAATAGATAGGGTTGAGATACTTCAACCTTTGATTCTCTGTATGTGTGAACGCATGTGCATGCACACATGTGTGCACAGTCATATGTTTCTGTTGTTTTAAGAAAGAGTCAGGTGCAGTCAAGGGTGAGCTTGAGCTCCTGAGCCTCCTGTCTCCACTGTTGAGTGCTGGGATTACAGGATCATGATACCACTCTTGGAAACCTTCCTGTCTTACAGTTTATAAAAGGAATAACCTAGAATCCAGAATGCCAGTCTAGTTCTCCATGTGACTTTGGAGAAGACTCAGGTACATGTTATCTGTGATTGTTCCCCACCCCCAGTTAGGAAAAAGGCTGTTGATGTCTGTTCTATTTATTCTTTAAGAATGTTGTAAAGAAGCACATATTAATTGTAAAGTCCTTTGAGGAATCCCTATGTAAGCTATGACTTGATGAAGAATTTTGTCAGACATAACTTTTTGGGTCTCAGAATGTTTTTAATCTCAAGCCTCTATTTCTGCCTACACAAGATTGCTTGATGAGCCGTCCTTGGACTCTAGTCGAAGTTTCTGAACAGATGACATCATGACCTTCTGATAAAGGAATGGTAGGCTTTCTGCTCGCTATAGAAATCCCTGGATGAGTCTAACATTTAATAAACTTGATAACTATCTTAACAAACAAACTCATGAGACTGGAGGGATGGCTCAGTAGGCAAAATGCTTGTTTCACAAGCATGAGGACCTGGTTTTAGATCCCAGGAACCCATGACATGAAGTCAGACACTACAGAATAGGTCTGTGATCCTAGGGTTCAGGTAGCAGGACAGGAGGCAGAGACAGACTCCCTGGAGGTTTGTGGTCCAGCTAGCCTGGCATATGCAACAATGATCAAGAGGGTAGAGATGGATGTAATGGTGGTAAGGACAAACACCTGAGATTGTCACGTCACCTCCATGAACATATGCATGGACACACACACATATACACACACACATACACACAACTGTTTCCATCATGTTATCAATGGATGACTATATCTACTAAGAAGATCCATTGATTGATAAGCCTAATCCTCCAAATAGTATGCAACGATTTCCGTGCATTTTCCAAAAGAATCAAATAAAGATCAGTATACAGAACAAGTCCCAGAGATCCAGCATACAGAACAGACTTGGAACAAACCCCATCATAACACAGTAGCTTTCGACTCAGATACCCACAGCTTGCCTTGCTACCTGGGTTTCCTTACCTGGCTGGGAGGGGACTGAGGTGGAAGCTTTTGAGAAGTTGTCTTCATCATCAGAATCCCCACTGCTGAGTTCTGCACAAAGGAAAGAAAAGTCTCTTAGGCATCTTAGGGGTGACAGCAGGTCCACACAGCAGGGGACACCTGAGTGTGAGAACTAGGAAGGCCAGAACAGTTAACTCAAGGCTGTGAGCTCACAACTGGTGCAGAAGTGCTCCTTCCCAGTTACTGACATGCATCTCCTCTGCACAGAGGTGCTCCCTCCCAGCCACTAACACATATCTCATCTGCACAGAGGTGCTCTCCCCAGGCACTGACACACATCTCCTCTGCACAGAGGTGCTCTCCCCAGGCACTGACACACATCTCCTCTGCACAGAGGTGCTCCCTCCCAGCCACTGACATGCATCTCGTCAGCACAGAGGTGCTCCCTCCCAGCCACTGACATGCATCTCGTCAGCACAGAGGTGCTCCCTCCAGCCACTGACACATATCTCATCTGCACAGAGGTGCTCTCCCCAGGCACTGACACACATCTCATCTGCATCCTCATTCTGGTTCTCACTTACTCATCCATCTCTTTCTTTCACTTCCATTTTGCTCCTTAGCTTTCTTCATGGCTCTGTCCATCACTCTTGTTCTTCATTTGTATCTAGTGATGGACATCTTCATGCCTGTCTAGGGATGTTTCCCTGTCCATTTCTTCTTATACATATCTTGGTTCCTTGATATATTTTTTCTCTCTTTTTCTTAACTTCTATTCCCCTCACACCAACCTCCATTTGCCTTCTTGTTCTTGTTCTCGGTTTTGTTGTTGTTGTTGCTGCTGCTGCTGTTGCTGTTGCTGTTGTTGTTCTTGTTCTTCTTGTTCTTCTTGTTCTTGTTCTTCTTCTTCTTCCTCTTCTTCTCCTCCTCCTCCTCCTCCTCCTCCTCCTCCTCCTCCTCCTCCTCCTCTTCCTCCTCCTCCTTCTTCTTCAGAAAAAGACCCCCCTGGCCTCAGCACTTATTAACTTCCATTTCTCACTTCTGCCTTTAATTTTCCCCACTTTCTTCTGCTAAGCTGAAGGTTGGCTTTGGTGGTCCTCTTTCCCTTCCTGCCTCCTTCTGACTAGCTGGGCTGCTCCAAAGGTCCCTGATGACATGTAATCCCCTTGCCTGGGAATCTGTTACAATTTTTTCAGTTATCCTTACCTATTATCTCAGAGTCCTCATTTTGGTTGGTCCTTGCTCGAGTCTGTTGGTTATCATCCAAGGAAAATGATGAACTTTCCTTCTTTATATCTACCAGACGCACAAAACATGGATGCATCTGGTGTTCATGGTTGAGGTCCACAGCTCCTGGGCCAAATTACAATGAATAAATTACTTTCAGGGACTGAGGAGACAGCCCAGTCGGTAACGGCTTGATGTGTAAGTGCAAGGACCTGAGTTTGAGACCCAGGATCCACATAAAAAGACACATAAGTGGCAGCCATTTGCAATCCCAGAACTCAGCAGATACTGAAAGGTGAATGCCAGGGCATCACGGGCCAGCCAACCACCTTAGCCTAATCAGTAAGCTCCCGACCAATGAAAGACCTGGTTCAAAAAAATTGGTGGACAATAACTGCAAAGGACAACAAAACCAGAGGTTGACCTCTGGCCTCTGTACACACATGCACACACATATATGCAGACAAGTATATGTGTGTACACACACACAAACACATACAGATATACACAAAGTATTTTCATTTAACTCTCAAGAAGAGCATTTTGAATACCACAAATGATCCTTCTTCCTGAAATCTCCTACCCACTCAGTTCTTATCTTCCTTTCTACCCATTCCTAGAATCCTTGGATGGGGAATTGATTTTGATATTTTAAAGATGAAAATTACCCAGGCATGGTTAGACACACCTACAATCCCAGCACTTGGAAGGCTAAGATAGGAGGAACATAACTCACGAATAGCCTGGGCTACAAAGCCAGACCCTGTTTCAAAAAAACAAAGATAAAATAAAAAATTCTAACTTCAGTATAACATTTATATATAAAAGTGGGATTAGATGATTATAAAGTGAAACTATCAGTTGGATTAAAAAGCAAATGACCAGCACTCCAGAATCTTCTGGGTGACACATTCCACTGTACCCATGGTCTTTCTCAAAGCCAACCATTATCTCCAGTTTTAAGACCTAGAGTAATTTTGCTACTTATGTAAGCAATATAAATGAAATCATAACCATGTTTTTGTTTCTCTATTCGCAGAGAAGCCAAACACTTCCAAATCTAAACATGTACATATATGTGTATATATAATATGTGTATATGTATATTATGTCTGTGAGTCTTCTGTATTATTATTTTTGATGTTATAGAAATATACTGACTTGCTCTGTTTCAGTTGTTTAGTTTTTAATAATAATACTACTAGGTACATTCTTTCTTGTGTGTATGTGTGTTGAATCATTTATTTTGAGACAGGGCTTCATGTAGCCCAGGTTTGCCCCAAACTATGTATCTGAGGATAACCTGGAACTCCTGATCTCTCTTCTTCTATCCTTCTTCTTCTCTTATTAGTGCTGGGGCTGAGGTCTGTGTCTTATTCCCAACCTTTCCAATGGCTTCTGATAAGCATATGTTTCTCTTCTTCTTTGCTGAGGAATGTAATCATTGAGCTCTGGGACATGTATGCTTTCAAACTTAAGAGATTACATCCGACTGTCTCCCCAGATCACAGCAGAAGCTGAAGAGACAGGGACATAGCAAATGCAAGAATCTGAAGACAATAAGTGTTGGGGACATTGTGTTAGGGGAAGAAGCAAGTGACAGGGATATGAGCATGGCTGCCAACCCTCATTGCCACTCTGACAATGCAGACAAATGCTGGGAGCTACAGAAAGCACTGGGCTTTAAAAGCCACATGAACTAGTTTGCATTTATTTTGGTTTTACTTTATGTAGGTAAGCGTTTTCCCCTGCATGTTAGTTTGTACACACAATGTCCCAGGAGGTCAGAAAAGGGTATGAGAGTCCCTGAAACTGGACTTAGAGGTGGTTGTGGAGCTGAACCTGGGTCCTCTGTAAGAGCTCCAGCCTTCTTAATCACCGAGCCGTCTCTTTAACCCAGTTCATTTTTGGAAGATCTTTCTTTGCCACACGACAAGAGATCTGAAGAGAACAACATGCGAGAGGCAAAGCCAAAGGGAAGCTTGTTCCTCTAGTTTAAGTGAGCGTGATGGGGGTCCTATGTGGGATGACAGGGCTGGCGGATGCACACATAGCGGCAGGCTGGCGTCACAGTGCCAAATAAGGTAGGAGAAGCTTTAAGCCACTAAGTTGGGGGGGGGGGGAGTCATCTCTTACATTATTGAGCAGAAGGCACCAGAAGAGCCACCACAGAGAGACATCCTTCAGGAGGTCTGCAGCAGGTCTTTAGACACTTGCAGAAGTAAGTCGAGAAAGAGGACAGGCCTGGGCTAGACCAGTGTGTTTAGGAGCCAACAGATCTTGTGCAGTGATTAAGCCTAAGGAAACGGGGTCTCCTGTATCTGGGGGATCACAGGCTCATTGTGCTGAGGGGACATCTTACCCTTCTCAGTGGAAGGGGAACGCTCATTTCCATCATTTCTCACAGCCCACTCTGCCCCTCCCCGCGTCCATCTCTTTGTGCCATTCTCATCTGGCCCTATTTCTTGATCTGTGTTTACCTTTCCATCTTTCTCTAATCATACTCTGCCCCCTCTATACATTGTACATTTGTTTCTTTGTTTGTTTAGCACATATGCAGCACAGCATGTGTAAGGCAGTCAGAAGACAACTGTGAGCATAGCTTCTCTCTTTCTGCCAAATGGGGCCTAGGACTTGAACTCAGGTCATCAGAGTTGAGAGCTACCTTGCTGCCCCCTGTGTTTTTAAAAGTCAGTTTATTTCAGGGCCAGGACCAGGGCAAGACAGCAGTGGTACTTTGAGCATAAGACTAAGGAGGTGAAGAATCTGACTGCTGAGAGAGAGAGAGAGAGAGAGAGAGAGAGAGAGAGAGAGAGAGAGAG